TGGATATACGTGTGGTGTAATGGATAACGCCTAGGAATTGGAACTTGGAAAGCCGAGATCCAATTCCAGTCGGGTTTGTTATATTCACTTATGCACATATACCCTTGGGAAAAATATGGATCCACATCTTCTCCTCTCGGCTATGACTCAATCAGTAGGAGTTGTATCAGGTAATCATTATTAAATTCCCAAATTCTTAGAATCTACAATTATTTTATGACTTTTAAATAACCTGTAGTAGGCTGAAAAGCCGTAAAATTCAATCATTCAATCAATTTGCCTAATCTAAAACAGATAAATGGCGCACGTCATCAAAAGACTACTCTATGATCGGCTCGAATGTGATTTTTCAAAAGTACATTGGCTGGACCTCCCAAGATTTAAAGAAAATAATTTATGTATATCACAATTTTGACCTGGAAAAAGCCGTTTTTATATATATATAAAAATCCAATTTATTCAGATTCATTGAAAGTGCCAGAATCTATGTGTTCCCTACGATTGATATGCGACTGATCGTCTGTTACTGGTATATGGGCATCTCAAAATTTCTAGAAACTCATTCTTACCAAAATATTTTACCTAAATCGATGATGCGTTATTATTGATGATATATTACCGTACAAATATTAACTGATCTTGTAAATAAAATAAACAATATCAAACATACAAACAATTCATTACCGTTTCTTGAAATCATCTCAAAATCCACTATTAATGATCTGAAAATTAAACTTCTACTTAAAATCCACTAATAAAATTGACTTCATAAACTTTTACTCTTACCACAACAATAAAATAAATCGAATATAATTATAAATTTCTGTTTAAAGTACTTAGAATTTGTAACCTTCAATATCTGCCCGATTAAGAAAATATATTGAATCCAGTATCCTAATTATTTTTTTATATATAACATTTAAGTAATTAGAATAAATATATTCATTCAGATATGTTTTACAAAATCTTATTGTGATTTATGTCAATCATCAAGTTTCAAACTTCGGTTGTCAGTTTCCTATTTGTTATACTTGCGCATTGGTTCGGGCACCTCGAGGTGGTGTAATGGTTAGTAAGCTTGTCTCGCTAGAATTATTACGACTAAGTAGTGAGTTCGATCCTCATTGGGTACCCCATACTTTCGGCCTTGTGCCACATCTGAACTACGGTTGGAAAATCACTACTTGCGCATTGGTTACCGTGTAATATTTGCATATTTTAAATACAAAAAAGAAAGAAACATTTTCTTAACGTAAACAAATGGGTTTAAACTAGTGCCAGATTATACTCGGATTTTGAATCATCACTATGAGGCAAAAACAAACCTGGATTCTTCAACTTCCTCGTAAAATATTCAATTTCATATTAAGGCTGATAACGACATTAAGTCTGAGTTGTCATAATCAAAAGTTTTACGTTCTTATTATTTGTTTGAAACATAAATTTCTTGTTTCGTGCAGGTGAGCGTAATCTGAGTCACGAAGCCTTGCAAGGTGCGTTGATTATTTCCCTTTACAGAGATGAGCCAAGGTTCAGCCAACCATTCCAGATCATAAGTTACTTGATGGACATTGACTCTTTGCTGACGAAATGGCGATGTAAGTGATCGTAATTAACAATGATTTAAACCAGTGATTTAATAATAATTGACGATGATTTAAACCACTGATTTAAATAAAATAAAGTTTAGATAATCCGACATTATCGGCTTATCGAAACTTTGATTATTTATTTGAATTTTCAATTAAAAGATTAGGAATAAAAAAAATCCCTGCTATTGATGGTAGCATTGCTGGGTTCATCGGCTCAATAATTTTTATATTCGATTTTTGCCCATAGATAATCACGTGACCACTGTACAGCGAATGATTGGGAGCAAGATTGGTACTGGCGGTTCGTCAGGCTATCAATACCTTCGTTCTACAGTCAGGTAAGACTGTTTTCTTTATTTCCACAAATAACTTAAATCTTCAATGTTTACAGTTCTTATTTATTAAGTTTGTCTTAATGCACCACAAGACCGAATGAGAGTAATGAGGTGATGAATGTAAAGGACTTGCCTACTCATATGAGCTCTATAGGAGGCGCCTGCGGTATATCATAAAGAATGCGATCCAGTATTTTATATTCAAGGGAGAATAATGAAATACTATTCTAGAGTTACTTTCCATTATCACCATCACAACTATGACAAAATCATAAATTAAAATGAATTAATTTAATCGATAAAGCATAAAGACATATATTCATACTATAAACAAATACTTATGACAAATGAATAATTCTATAAATTTAATGAATAATCTCATTTTTCTTTGACAGTGATCGTTACAAAGTATTTCTCGATTTGTTCAACTTGTCTACATTTTTACTACCTCGCGAATGCATTCCACCCCTTGATAATCAGATGAAGAGGCGTCTCAATCTGCTCTACCCAGAAGATAATGCCGTACCTCTGGAGGAGAAAATGAAGAGGGTTATAGAAAATGACGAAGATTAATTCATCGTTTTATACCTCGTTGACATGGATACGACCTCTTTTTTCGTCTCCCTCCCCTTCTCCTCCCGTCTCAATCAATTTGCTTTTCAATATCTTTTCCGTTTATTGATTATCGAATTATAATGTTGCATTAAAATAACTTCGAAATTTTTTCTATTGTCGTCCCTTTATTTTTATTAAAAATATTAAGTTGACTTTCTAATATTTTTCAGAGCTTTGGACAAAGTTTTTTTCAGCTTAAAAAGTTAAAACCTCATCCGCACAAATTTATATAATTAAAAAGTGAATAAACATCTGTGATATGAACATCATTTTACAGCTGAAATTCTATGCTAACAGTTTCTTCACTCGCACTTCTCGCTTGTGGATCTCTCTTTCAGCTTCTTGCTTTCCAGTCACCTTTGATTTTCAATCTTTGATATTCATTTGAATGCAATGTAATCGTTATCTTCGGTCTTCCTAATTCCTGTTCTTTTATTGCTCTCTCTCCTTACTAATGTTTTCTTTTTCTCATATTCTCAAACACTCAGTAACCACTCGCGTCTTAAAAATAAAAGTGATAAACCCACATACAATACCGTGCGTGCGTTTCCAGGTTCTACATTCGTTTACGTTTAGTGTTTCCGAAATATTTTCACAATTTTGGGATTTAATTATATTAATATTCTGCAGGGAAATTTGTCCCGGATTTGCATATCGCAGAGTTGTGGTTAAAAAAGTGCGAATAAAAACAGCAAGATTAGAACGGACAAACTGTCTCTTTTAGGTGGATGAATAAATAAAAACTCCCACTCCGTGTGCAACAATAAAAGAAAAAAGTGTTTATGTTTATTTACATATACAGAAAAAAAAGGGTAAAGGGATAGACAATTAGGAGAGAAAGAAAGGGTGAAGAAAAAGTGCTTTAAGGGAGGAGAAAATGTTCATAACAGAAAAAAGGCTTGCTCAAAATATTTCTCTGAGAGCCTAAAAGTTCTTTAAGCGAGTAGAATTTTGTTAGTGGTTAGAAACACTCACAGTTTTCTTCACAGTTCTCGTAGAGTAGGAAAATGTTGGTAGATATAGGAATTTTGCAGTTGAGTGAGTTCGTAGGTCGACGACAATAGTCTTGTAGGTGAAAGGAGGCAGCTTTCGACTGGTCTTTAATAGTAGGCCGACGTTCGTTCTCGACAGCCCTTTAATAGGTAGTTCTTATTTGGTTGCAAGTGGTTCCGAAGTTGACTGGTGCTCTCTATCGCCGACCTCACAGACGGTGGGCCGAATTCTCACTGAAAGTAATTAAAAAAAGTTGGAGTGAACAAGTTGTGAGGTTTTGCCCAGACTTCGTGACACCACTGGAAAGAATAATGGTGGAGGAATTCCTTTTTATATTTCCCAGCTCTCTCGTTAGTCTGAAAATATATTATTATTTCTGATAAGAATCAAGGTTTTGGAAGCCGGTTCTGAACGTAATGAAAAAGGTTGGAGTGAGGATTGGAAAAATAGGCTAGTAAAATATTGCATTCGTGCTTCTCAAATTAAATTCCAATAATTCATTTTTATGAGATTGAAACGGAATCCTTTCTAACAACAACAAAACAATTCAAACGCTTATGTATATAAATACCATTTAGTAGCAAAATTAATAATGGAAGAAATAGAATTTTCATCGCTATTTTCAAAAAAATAACTCGAGTAAAAATCAAACAATTCACAAACAGGTTTTGGGTTTTGTTTATAAACAAAATATTGTCGTTGCATTAATTTAAAGAGATATGCCTTTGCGCAATGTTTGGGGTCAGCATCAGAATGCTTCAACTTATTTATAAACTTAAACACTGCAGCAGTTACTCGTACTAATTTAGACAACTTAGAATATTTGGCTAAATCTACAATAGGTTCGTTCAAACGAATAGAACTAGTACTGTGATGCACTTCGCGATGAACAATAACCCTGCTTTCGTCATTGTGGCAACTCATGCTACTCTACGGCCAAGCCACAGTATCTTCCAAAAGGCCAGGTAGGGCCAGAAATCCAAAATTTAAAGTCCTGTTTGAATTTGTCAAAGTTTAGACCTCTAGCGATTAAATCGCTGGGATTCTGCAAGGAAGGCACATACTTGAACTTAACCTATAATCCATAATCAGATCACAGATCTTATAGGGATTTAAAAATATCCTTCAGTCTATTCTTAACGAATTGATTCTTAGTTTTAATGTTATTGTTACTAGACAACAACCAAGACAACACCACTTGAGTATCCACTGCAATGTTAACACTTTTAACACATGCAGTGGGAAATGCTTTCAGATTACAATCAAGCCATTTAATAGCTAAGAACACAACCATCAATTCCAGAGTAAGGATCTGGACTTAATGGGAACCACATTGGCCTTAGCAAAAACTAAGTTCGATTTGTTTTTCTGCGCAGCATAAGCAACAAACCCATATGCCTTTTTCGAGGCATCGCAGAATACGTACAGTTCATCTGGAGAAACTTAATTCCTTAAGACGATTGAGGTCTTTAGACAAGCTGTTCCAAACTTGCTGGGGTTCTGATGGGATAACGTCATCCCAAGGCAACTTCATTTTACATAGATCACTCATTAATATTCTACCCCTAATTGTCAGAGGAAGACACAGTGACATAGGGTTCAAAATACTAGATATTTGAGACAATACCTTTCTTTTTGTATTGGTTTCAGAATTAATATAGCTGCCAGCTGAGCACAAGGTATCCCTGACTAGATCATATCTATATCCTAGGACCTTATCCAACTGGCAGCCATGCTCAGCAGAGTTGCCATCTGCAATCGTGCGGTTTTTCATATCCTCGCAATTAGCATTACAAAATCTAAGGACAAAGTTTCCTTCTTCCATTCTATCCACTGGCTCCCTGTAGAGATACATCAATTTTTGAGGAGAATTACAGGTTTTAACTAGGCTGTCCATGTAGAAATTGTTCTTCAGCATGTCGGTGCATTCATCATCAGGGAATTTACTACCATGACGCTTGATGACATAATTTAAAATAAAAGGACTAGCATTAAACCCGAATAAGAGAGTGTTGTATCTAAAATAAACTAATCTGCACCCTTCCTTTATAAAAAAACAGAATCTATTTTTGTCTCCTTCCATGCTAAGTTCAATCATCAAGAAAGCCTTCCTAATGTCAGCGAGTAAAACATATTTGTTGGATCGAAACAACAATAATAGTTTTAGCATGTCTCTCATTAGATTTTTTCTAGGGTAGACTGCTTCATTTAAGGAGTACCCTGTTTTAGTTTTAATAGAACAATTAAAAACTGGTCTTATCTTAGTGGTGGTTTGACCTTCGGTTTTAAAAACAGGTCTGTAGGGAATCCATATATAATCCTTGAAATTATCAAGGGTAACACGAATCTTTTCTATTATCCCTTCCTCCTCCTGCTCGCGAAACACCTTGGCATATTCGTCAAACAGATTTCGCTTTTCTAAGCCTTTAATAACACTATTCAATACGCCAAGAGATACAGCATGATTCGAAGGTTCGGAACTGATTCTTTCTGCTATCCAAGGTAACTTTACATAATAAGAATTATCTCAAAAATTCTATAGATCTCTCGAAGTCCCTAATCTTCAGCCTGTCATAATCACTCACACCATCTTCGCTGGGCAAACCCAACGCTTTCATACTAAACATTTTATCCAACTTACGTTCTACGCAACTTTCTTGAAACGTATCGAAAAATGGATAAACGTGTCCCTTTTTAGGTTCTAAAACAAAGTTAACATAAGACGCGAGACTGAAGAGTATTTAGAAACAATAGCATAGAAATTACTATCTGCACCTTTCTGCCCTTTTCCAGGAAGGATAATTTGGTTCGGATATAAGAAATTAACATTTTCAAAGGGAATGATCTCATCGGTGAGTTTCCATGCTGTACCACTCATGCATTTTATCAGATACATAGGCTTCATGAACTGTATCAAATCCACCCCCAACAAACCATGCACCAGAATGTTATCTGTATTTTTAGCAAATTTTCCAGCTAACTTAAAGATTTTTCAGGTTTTTAGTTATCAGATGAAAACAATCAACATCAAACCTGACATTGGTTATCAATTAAAATTGGGAGGGAACGAGTACCACTGGGAAATCTTATACCAAATTTCACCTCCCTCAATCTTTTGAGCTGAGAACCCCAAAAAGTCCTTATTTCATAATCAACAGGGGCAACGTAGTAGTCCTCACACTTTAGCCTCCTCAAAACTGATTTTGAGAAATAAGACCTCTGGCTTCCGTGTTCACTAGACAGCTGAATTTATGTATTCTGCCACCACTGCTGACAGATAGGCAGACCACTGGCAGAAGAAAATTAGGCTGTCCTGACTGTGTATAGAGACACATATTAGTCGCAGAGTGTTTACTGCTAAACTTAAGGGGGCATAACACACATATATGGCTTTTCGAGTTACAGAACTTACATTCAATGTTTAATTTATTATTCCTTCATCTACATTCATCCTTGCAATGTTTCCTACTCATGCAAAGTAAGCATAATTTTATGTCCTTACACCTATCCAATCTGGACTCTAGGGAAGGATATCTGGATCATTTAGGACTTGAATGTTTTACTTCATCACAGAATTTACGTTTCGGAAGATTACTACTACTCCTTGTGTTGACATTAAAAGTACGGTTTTTATTCTGACCAGAATTACGGACCTTTGGAGTCCAATCGTGAATCTTAGTTTTTTTCAGAGCTATTTACACTATTGCTATTATTGTTAGTACTATTATATGACTTATTTTTTGTAATCACAAGGGTCTTGATAACAACTATAGTTTGCAAAAATTTGTGATAAAGAAGGATAATTCGTTTCAACGCAATCTTGGCAGTTTTGAAAAGAAAATACAACAAAACTCAAATATTTAATTCCAGGAGAATTCTCTTGAAGGAAATCCAAATCGAATGAACTTCTTAACTCAAACAGATCAGCTCGTATTTTAGTAAGAAATTGCTTCACCTCAATTTAA